AATAAGAAGAAGGACATATACCATAGCGTTATTAAAAATGCCATTGCCTTTTTGGGTTAGGTATACTTTCCTGAACAGGAAGAGAGCATTAAAGGCAAGGAAGTGAAATGTTTGAGGTGGACAAGGTTGTGCATACTCCGCAAATGGTAGCCAACGATCGCGGATTGCAAGCGTTTACCGATGGATCCTTTAAGCGCGGAGTTTTCGGAGGTTACGGAGTATTTATCCCGAGAGTTTCCATGCGACTCGCTTGTGGGAGAAGGGCAAACGACGACCTACATACGAGCTCCACTATCACGTTTGAGCTGTTGGGTTTGTTACGAGCCCTCGAAATCTGTTTGGAGATGGAATGGCGCTGGGGATTGTGGGAGCCAATCTTTGTATACACCGACAGTTATGATTCCCTGACGCTGCTGGAGATGTATGTGCAAGACCCAATAGCCCTGGGTTGCCACCCAAATGCAGATGTCATCCAGACGATTGTTTGGCTCGCGGGAACGTCACTTGTTCCAGTTCATTTTTGTAAGGTGAAGGGGCACTACGACATCGCTGGAAATCAGGTTGCAGATGAGTTAGCAAAGATTGGTGCACATCTACTTGCAGGACAATCACAGTTTATTAACACTATAGTCGAGTCACCATATGGTCAACAGCAAAGCTATTCACGGCCTCAACAATTTGCGATTTATTAAAGAAAACAAACAAAAACAAAACCATTAGCCAGATTTTGTTTGTAAAATGGGGATTAAAAGTTTCTAAATGCTAATTTACCTTGAGCATTAAAGTAACAACATTAGGCTTGTTTTCACTGCTTCCTTGGTGGTAATTAATGCTGAGCCCAGTCTACTGACGGGATTGCTCAGTAGACCTCACAAATGAAAACTCTCACTGTTGGATGTGTAGAGGAATCCATCCTCGCTCATCCGCCTCTTTTCAATGGTGCTCCCGGTCATTTCGAGGGAACGTAAAGAGCCTTGTTGAGTGTTCTGGGATCATCGACCGACTTGAGCAAGTAAGCTGTGAGGTCCTCCTCAGGGAGATATATGACTGTGAATCCGCCGAAGTAAAACGAGACAAATGCATGAACAAAACTGGTACCTTTGTGATCTCCATCTTTGTAAATGCAACCTTGTCTCTGGGTGGAGTGAAAGTCGGGAAACCGTCCATTTGTACGAAACTGGTGCTGTGCAGTCACGTCTCCAACACTTTGATGCTGCTTGACACACAGACTCTGTGCTCCGCGTTGTGGATGCGGCTCAGTAACATCGAGATCGACACTCCAGCTGAGAGCAGCAGCCACAGAAGTACTTTCTCACCCACTCACAGGTGGTGAGGAGCTCCGACTTTGGCAAGAACGATACCATATGGTTCAACATCAACTCATCTCGGAAGCTTGCTGCGTCCCGGTTTTTATTCCCCAGTTTCCTTACATTGCTTGTAGACCAGCTTGGACAGACAGCAGCAATCACTTGTCAGTAGCCTTAAGAAATGCTCATATGCTTTCAGAGAATGGGGAACTATATACGTGGGGAAAGAATCGCGACTACCAGCTCGGAATTCCTGGACTTAAGGATGAGCAACTAGATCCAGTCCCGCTACAATTTCCACAGGCTCTTCATGACAAAACTCCGGTAGAAGTGTTGGGTGTTTCTTGTGGAGCTAATCACCGGGTTTGTAGCCCAGATAATCTGCCACATCAGCGACGCTTTCCCATGACGTGGCAATACATGAGGAGAAATGTGGGCGCCTGCCCAGGACTCTTCTTCTTCCCGGCGCGGCTGGATCGATCTCGAGGAGGTCTTGCGCGCTTCAGGTACGCTGATAGATCGATTGTCGATCGATCGCTTTCGCGAGTTGTGGGCTTGATTATTCCAGAACCAGGCGCCGCGGAAGCTGAGCAATGGCTACGCAGGTTTTATGTCGTGGGTCGCGAGCCGGAACGATGATGGCGATCTATCGGCGGTGCGCATTGGGACTTGGCGACAATCTGGCAGGCAGGTCGAGTATTGGTTTTAGTTTTTTCCTTTTGATTCATTGATGAGTGCGTCTATGACGCAGGGGATTGTTTGCGAGCCGTCCAGTTCGTGCGGGAGAACGCGTGCTGGAAATTTCTCTAGACTTGGTCTGTGTTGTTTGGTCCTTTCTGCTTTTCCTCTTAATGTTGGTTCTTGTTTACGTCCAGATGATAGCTCCTACTCGTCTTCCTGACCAGCTCAGCACGGTTTTGCCCAGCACTGTTAAGCCGTGGACTATTGTCCTCATGGAACGCTACAAAGGACAGGCAAGTTTACTCTCAACATTTTCGTCTTCGCTTCGCTAAATTTTTCTCGCAACAGCTCCAGTCGTCAGCTTGGGCACCATACATCTCGTGTCTTCCTGAACCAGCGGAGCTCGACAACACGGTACTCGACTATCGAGTTTTTGTTTCTCAAAAGTTCCAAGTGCGTAGTTTCTTTGGGAGGACACCGAGCTAAGTTACTTGAGGGCGAGCCCTTTATACGGCAAGACTGGAAATGATAACAACTGAGTTTGGCCAAGCGCAAAACGTAAGTACTTCGGGTAGTTTTCTATTTTGCAAGCTTTCATCCACTTACATGCACGGTAATGGTGTGTCTCTCTTTATTTCTGTATACTTCCTTGTGTACAATATAACGCGGCGTCATGGAACGCTACAAAGGCCAGGCAAGTTTACTCTCAACATTTTCGTCTTCGCTTCGCTAAATTTTTCTCGCAACAGCTCCAGTCGTCAGCTTGGGCACCATACATCTCGTGTCTTCCTGAACCAGCGGAGCTCGACAACACGGTACTCGACTATCGAGTTTTTGTTTCTCAAAAGTTTCAAGTGCGTAGTTTCTTTGGGAGGACACCGAGCTAAGTTACTTGAGGGCGAGCCCTTTATACGGCAAGACTCGTGAGCGGCTGGAAATTATAACAACTGAGTTTGGCCAAGTGCAAAACGTAAGTACTTCGGGTAGTTTTCTATTTTGCCAGCTTTCATTCACTTAGTGTTTTTTACTGTTTTTTTCTTTTCCGAATGGTTTTATTCAAGGAGGAAACTTTTTTACTTTGATGCTTGAAGGATTTTTGTAAGTGTTTCTGACGTACTTGCCTGTGTACTGGAGCAGGCACTTGATGTTTGGCCTCAACTATTCGGTAAAGTGTCTGTTGAAGACTTCATGCATGTATACGCCACAGGTACAGGAAGCAAGCTTGTTTCTTGCTAGTTTTGTTCGTCCTTCCTTTGCAGTTTTTTCTCGTCCACTAGCCATTGGAGAGGACTCGACATTAGTAATGGTGTGTCTCTCTTTATTTCTGTTTACTTCCTTGTGTACAATATAACGCGGCGTTAGCAGATACCAATGCTCGATTTTTTCAACCACAACGCAGCCAGCTTTGCGAAGCTCTCATTTAACGGGCTTCTCAACTACGCAGTTGTAAGATACGCCTGAAGTTCTTTCTTTTTCTTTTCCGTACCACAAGCAGGTCACAGCGGACAGAGACTGTGCTGAAAACGATCAGGTATAGGCAGTGGTCTTTGTTTTGTTTTCATGTTTCATTCGGCTTTGCAGATTTGGATAAACTGTGGTGATCTTTCAAACGCAGAGCTTGCACTTGATTATGGCTTCACTGTGCCTGAAAATCGGTATGACGAGGTAATGAGCGTGCGAAGAGGTGTGGTGCTGAATCACTTTTCACAAACTGCAGACTGATCTGTTGACGCAATTCCCGGAAATGACACGATAATTAAAGATCAACTTCAACGGAAACAGCGCTGTAAAGCATTCCTTCTTC